TCCTCATCCCAGTTTTTCCTTCCCATTGAATAAATTATTTCCCTTTCACAGTATCTATTGTACCTTTCAGATTTCATTTACTCTTTTTTCTTTTTTTTTTGAGAGAGGATCTCACTATGCAGTTTGGCTTTGTGCTCAATTTTGTAGTCCCCAGGTTGGTCTTGAACCTCAGAGATCCTCCTGGCTCAATCTTGAGAGTACTAGGATTACAGGCATGTGCCATCACACTCGATTTATTTACTCTTTCAGGTTCTCACACTAGTGAAATAATACAATGTTTGCATATGTGGATCTGATTTATTTCACTTACCAAGAGAGTCTCTAGTTGCAAGCACTTATCTACAAAAGCTCTGAATTTATCTATTTTTTTTATAGCTGAGTAAAACTGCATTGCGTAAAAATACCGTATCTTTTTTTTATCCATTTCTCAATTGAAGAACATTTGAGTTTTCAAGATTTAGCTATGACAAATTTTGCTGCTATAAGCATAGGTGCACATATATCACTTTGGTATGGTGATTTCAGTTCTTTTTTAAAAATACCTGGGGTGGGGGGGAATAGCTGGCTTGAATGGCACCTCCCATACTAGCTTTTTGAGGAACCTCCATACTCATTTCCATAATGATTGTCCAGCTTGCACTCCCACCGAGTGAAGAAGGCTTCTTGTTTCCCCACAGCCTAGCCAGCATTTGTTATTGGCTGACTTCTTGATGATAGCCATTCTTTCTGGTATAAGATGGCATCTCAATGTTGTTTTAATTTGCATCTCTTGAATGACCAATTATGTTGAACATTTTTTCATATATTTATTTGCCATTTGTATCTCTTCACTTGTGAAGTATATATTCATCTCAAATGCCCATTTTTGGACTGAGTCTTCAAATTTTGGAGGCCTGTTATTTTGTAATCTGTTCTTCATAGGAGTCCTTTGTCTGAAGAACAATCTGCTATAAGTTTTTCCCAACTTATGGGCTTTCTTTTTACTCTCTTGGTGATTTCTTCGCTGTTCAGAAACTTTTCAACAAGATGAGGTCCCAATTGTTGATTCTTTGTAGTATTTCCCGTGCAGTTTGATTTTTGTTCATGAACTCTCTACCTACCCCTTATGTCCTTATGGTTTCTAACTACTTTCTCGTCCAAAAGATTTAGTGTTTCAGTTTAATAGTTAAATCTTTGATTCATTTTGACTGTATTTTAGTGCATGGTGATAGATATGGGTTAGTTTTAGCTTTCAGTACATGGAAAGCCAGTTTTTCCAGCATCATTTATTAAAGAAGCTATCTCTTTTAAAGAATAAATTTGGCCCCTTTGTAAAAGATAACACAGCTGAGTGTGTTTGTAGTTGTGCTCCATCTTATATTCTGTTCCACTGAGCCTCAGGTGTGTTTTTTTTGCCACTATAATTTCAAGTCAGGGATTGTAGTGTCTCCTGCCTTTTCTTTGTTGCCTAGGATTGCTTTTGAAATTCTGTGTCTCTTCTGGTTCCAGATGAATTTTAGGAATATTTTCTCTAGATATGTGAGGTATACTAATGGCATTTTAATTAGGATTGAATTAAATCTGTATAACAATTTTTGGAGTATGATCATTTTTACAGTGTTGGTTCTTCTTATTCATGAGCAAAGAATATCTTTCCAATTTCTTAAGTCTTCTTGATACAGAGAGAAAAACTGATCTCGGGTGGGTGACATCCAAATGATACAGGGAACCTGTATAATGACAGGTTCTCTATGTATAATGACATAGAGAAAAATGATCTCCCAACCTGACGTGGTCTAGTTCGTGTTCTCTAAAACTGAAGAATGAATTTTAGGAACAAACAGGTTATGAGCAAAATATATTTATTGAGGGAAAGAAAGCTCCTGTCCAAGAGAGGGACAGGAGGGAGACCGGCGCACCTTGTCCCCAGGAAACTGTCTCTTCCAGGGACTTTTATAGTGTAAAACCATGCGGGGCTAAGGTGGAGAACATGGGAACTTGCTTAGGTGGATGTGGGGTGGGACAAAACTATGGTCAACCAATGAGATTACAAGCACCATTGCTCAGGTAAAATTGATTAAGCCCAGGACCAAATCGAAAAGGGAGTCATGTAATGTAAAATAGGACCTTATCTGTGAGCCATCAGATAATGATTCTTCCTGGCTTACTTAGGGTAATAATCAATCCCGGATGCTAATCTTTAGGGAGGTTAGCTTATGCTTGCTCTTTGATCTTTAGGTCTGGCTCACAGCAGGAGCTTCTGTCCCTCTCAGATTCTAAGGTATCTTGCCTTCAGTGTTATCTCCTTTGAGGGCCTGGCCCTGTACGACTTCCTATAATATCTCTATCTAATTTGGCTGCCTGCAACACTCTTTGATCTCTTTTTTCAGAGTACTATAATTTTCACTTTATAAATCTTTTACTTCCTGTGTTAGATTGATTCCTAAGTATTTCATTTTTTAGGTGATATTGTGAAAGCTGTGCTTTCTATAATTGCTCTCTCAGTGCATTCCCTGTTTGTATAGTAATGCTATTGATTTGCGAGTGTTGGCTTTGTATCCTGCTATTCTACTGAATTTGGTTATAAAATCTACAATTCACCAGTGAAGTTTTTGGGGTCTTCTATATACAGTATCATGTCTTTTGCAAATAATGATAATTTCACTTCTTCCTATCCAGTCATTACTCCTTTTACTATTTTCTCTTGTCTAATTGTTCTGTCTGTTTCCAGACATGGATATCCTTGTCTTGTTCCTGATTTTAAAGTGAATGCCTTCAATTTTTGCCCATTTGGTATGTTGTTGGATGTTGGTTTCTCACAAATGGCCTTTATCAGGTTGAGGTGAAGACTATTTATTCCAAATATCTGTAGAGTTTTTAAAACATTTATTTATTTATTTATTTTACAGGATTGCACTATGCAGCTCAGACTTGCAGTGATCCTCCTGTCTCAGCCTCCCCAGCATTGGGATTATGGGCATGTGTCACCATACCTGGTTTTGGTGGCTGATTCAGCACCTGGGACTGGGACACCCTGTAGTTCCAGGGATTGAACATGGGTCCTTGTGCTTGCCAGGTGGCACTTAGACTGCTGACCTATTTCCTTAGGACCCTGTAGGATTTTCTTTTTTAATCATTGATAAGTGTTGGGACTTTCTCAAAAGCACTTTCTGCATCAATTGAGGTGATCACATGATTTTTGTTTTTGGTTTTGTTGATGTGGTGTACTACATATATGGATTTGTGTATGTTGAACCATCATCCCTGCATTCCTGGGATGAATCCCACTTGGTCATAATGTATAATCTTTTTGATGATTTGTTACATTCTGTTTGCTAGTCTTTTACTGAGAATTTTTGCAGCTATGTTCACAGGCCTACAGTTCTCTTTTTTGGCTGGGTCCTTCTCTGGTTTTAGAATCAGAATAGTGCTTTCCCCCAGACTTCAGTTTGAGAGACTTGCTTCTCTTTCATTTTCATTGAAGAATTTGAGAAGAGTTGGCATTAGATCTTCTCTAAATTTCTTGTAGAATTCAAGTGTGAATTCATCAGGGCCTGGACTTTTCCCAAAATATGAAATTCTTCATGAATTTGCATGTCATTCCTTATGCAGGGGCCATGCTAATCTTCTCTGTATTATTTCAATTTTGATATATGTACTGCTGAAGTGAGCACTGGAGAGTTTTTCATTGGACAAAATTATATATTTATTTGGTTCTTGTAAGTCACCAAAAATTTAGAGATAATAACTGAAGCTAGAAAGACTTCTAACAAAATGTCAGACTCCATCAATAAAGGGGCTTAAGAGACAGTGGGTTACAACTGTAATCCCTTAAAAATAGTTTCTAAACTTACCTGTCAGCTGTAATGCTCATACTTTGATTACACATGTTCTAATTTCTCAGAAAATTTGTTCTTGCCTAAAGGATGCCAAACCCTAAATAATCATACAGATAAAACTTATAACAAATATGTTAGTTTCCTTTTAAAATCTTTTTGCAAGATTCACCAGATTTTTTTTTGATGGAACCGGGGATAGAACTCAGGCCCTTGTGCTTGCCAGGGAAGCGCTTATTCTACTGAGCCATCTCCCTGGCCCCAATTCACCAGATCTTGTCCAGTGAGAGGGTTATATAACACATATCAAGGCCTTAAATAACTATAGTCAGCTGGCCTTGAATGACATCACAAGTGGTTTCTCTCTCCCCTCCCGGCAAAAAAAAAAAACATTTAATGGAACAGATCATCCTCCAAAATCAAATGACATTTGTCTCAGTTACTTATTACTCATTGCTGTGACAAAATACCTGACACCCTAACTTAAGGAAGGAAAGGTTTATTTAGCTCACAGTTGGTGGAGGTTTTAGTCTATATTTTAGTCTCTATTCGGCTGGTTCCTAGGCAGAGTAGCACATTGCAGAGACCAACAATTTATGGCAGCAGTAAACAGCAAAGCAAAGGGAGCAGATGCATCTGTGGCTTCTTGCAAGCCTCTCTCCCTACCTTCCATGCTGACTGGGAAGACCAGAGCTGCTCTGAGGAAGTGACATGGCTGCAAAGATCAAGCACATCCAAGGAAGTGGCATGCAGAATCCTTCCTCAACACCTTTATGTACACTTTTTGTGCTGAGTCACTCTAAAGTTGGGCTTCTACACCCTAGGGTGATGGGCCCTCCTCCCTTCCAAGGAGGGGCCTCCATGCTAAGCCACTCTAGCCAACCTTTGACCCCTGAGGTTCATAAAATGCTTCAACCAGCACAACATTAAACATTCTAACAGTAACATAGGAGGTACTTGCACAATTATAAAAACTGAATGTTGTGTGTACATTCCTGATCCTTCTACTGATATCTCAAAAGCTGCTCAAGATATTAGATGACAAATCAATGAATGACATGTCAGACTCACAAATTCCCTAGACTTTATCATTATCCTCTTTATGGGAGGCCATTATTGGATCCTTTTGGTTTAAATCTTTATTGACTATATTTATTATTGTCCTGTTGATCCTATTATTTGGCCCATGCATACTTAATTTTTTCTTTGGCTTTGTCTCCTCCTGTCTTAAAGCTATATGCCTACCCAACATGAAAATGCTTGGTGTCCGGTGAGGACCTTAGATCCTCTGTAGAGTATCTCTAACTGCTGATCAACAGTTATGACCCCTTTCAACTTGAAGAAGCCAGATTGGTCATCACCCATTACTCCCTCATGGCAGTTCAGAGTATTTATTCAAAGGGGGGAATATTATAGGTAGCTAAATTAGATAAAATGTTATAGGCAGTCAGATAGGGTTAGGCCCTCAAAGTGCCAGTGCAGAAGATGAGATAACTTGCAACTGTGGGGGAGTCAGGCACCTCTACTATAGACCAGACCTCAAGACAAAAGATAAAAC